GAGAACTTCGTAAACCTTTTGGTTACATGAAACTAATAAATTTCACATACGAAGCGAAGTGTATAGCTTTCTTCCTAAATGGATGTAACCCTTCCATCCATGTTGTAAAATGCAACAAGTTTACACTGAAGCTGAAAGAACAAACGGCCAATAGCAGGCCACAAAATAAATAATTAGAACATTGAGTGAAGTGCATTGGTAGCAAATCAGAAATTTTGGTACGAATGAAACAAAATATCTTTTCTTGTTTAAATTCCTCAACCTCGTATAGGATCATCATCATAAAATTTGCAATAAAAATATTCCTTTCTTCCAAATTAACAATATTATATTAAAAAAGAAGGGCATAAATCTTTAAAAACAAAAAAAAGAAGATATTTACGCCAACAATAAGAAACCTAGGGCTTAATAATGGTACCATCTTGTTTGGCCCAAGAATTGTGTATTCTCACATTATTAAGTACAATCACGCAAATTGTGTAAATCATGTAAATGTCATGCGTTTACCACAGATAAATGTCATGCTACAAAAAATTTCTTTGAACTTGCTGTATTTGAAACAATTGTTCGAATTCTTTATTATATGCAACTGAAACAATTTTTTGCTAATGGTAAAAAAGGGGTTTGAATGTAGGGGACTGTTCTTATTTTACCGGAGGGTTAGAGGAATATAGGCAATATAGAAAATGAGATCTATGGCAAGAGTATTCTACAAGATACTTAACTAAAATGATGTATTATTGACTTTGTGCTATTTTATAATGCACATATAATGAAACCGTGGATTATTCCAATCAAATCAATTCTGTTAAATTTGAATATAAATGAAATTGTTAGTGAACATAAAAACAGATTTTAAATTTAAGTTGAAACCACTTGATTCATTGTACAATTAAACTAGAATCAAATTTTTTATTTTCTTTTTAGGTTATATGTCGATGCTAGACAAGCTAGGAAAAGTGAAGCTTTTAAGGCATTCCCGTTTGAGATCTATTAAAACTTATCTCCCCATGGAACTCAAGAACAGTCTTTTGTTGTGATGACTTCAAAACTTTCTACATAAATCAATGCCATAATACTTAGAAATGGAATCGGACCAATAAAAAGCACACCTACCCAGATGGTGAAAAACTATGTAGTGAATTCCACTGCAACAAGTTTGAAGTGTGATAGTTAGGACTAAAGGGTAAAGCAGTACCACTATTCTTTAAAATTTATACTCTTGCAAAATGAAGGCTGGACCAGCATTTAATGTGAGTCGGCCACCCAGACTTCAACATGATCAACAGATGTAAACATTAGCTGACAGTAATGCTAGACTGACTAAATTTTGAGACCAAATTTGAAGTCCAAATAACATGACAGTTGACTTGAATTTCTTTGATTGATATCATATCATTTGGACCCCAAAAAAAACTTCAAATAATCAACTGTCATATCATTTGGGCTACAAATTTGGTCCCAAAATTTGGTCAGTCTAGCATTACTCAAACATCGGTCATGTTGAAAAATTCTAGCTTCCATTCTTCAGTGATCCCCAACTTGCTATGACACACCAAGTATTATTGGAGTTGAGAAAACATCTTAAGAATTAATAAATGTAATTAAAACAAGCTGCTCAATTATTAGTTTTGTCACCATACCCTACAAATAGGAAATTATATGGCGCACCAGTCCTACAGAACATGTTGGTGTTACATAAGCTGTTGCAGTAAGAAAGTAAGGCAAATAATGGTCAGACTCTCGCTGGCTGTTTGTCTGGGAGAGAAAGGGAGAAGAAAAACAGCGCCCACCTTCTTGTTTGAGATTGCTCAAGCATAGCATCCCCAATCACAGCATTGAGTACTTTTAAAGTCAAAGCAACAGGCTACATATACAGTTTTCTTCTGAAAATAAGCTCTGTAAACATTAAATGTATCAATTGTACACAATGTGACAGCCAAGAGCTATTATACATTACTCATGGCTAATATTCAAATGCATTGCCCATACTTGATATCACACACACACAAAAAAGAAGAAGAAAGACAACACAAAAGAATAATGCACCTGGGTGGAATCTAGATGACTTATGTGTGCGGTCACCGCAAATGAGAAAGTACAATATAATTCCTTTGAATTCAGGCCTATATGAAGGTAACATCATGTATAAGAAGGTATGAAGTGGTCAAATATACTTAGTTATCATGGACAAAATGATATGACTTGCATTGCTGTCAAAATTGCTTGATTTTTTTTAGCAAAAATGAGTCGTCCATTTGTCAAAAACCTAGAACATCAAAAATTGCATGGGTCAAGAAAGATTTCTATGAACATAATAGGTAATAGCAAAGATATTCCACCACAAGGCTACAAATCCAACAGCAAATCAATCTAATCAAGTTCACTTTAATGGAAGTAGTAGCCAATATGGTAGATGTGAATTTTGGGAGGTCTGCTTCCAGAAAAATGACCTCATCATCTTTCTTGATTGTCTCATTTCCCATTTCAACCAACTTGTTGCCTAAATGATTGCTGCCTAGAAAGTCAATTATTCAGCAACACCTAATTATTTGGAACTCAACATCCAAATTTAATGATAATTCTAAATCAACATGTATTTATAGTAAGTTATGCATAAGAAATTCGTAAGTATCATATTACCTTTCTCGTCAATGTACTAATTAAAAAATACATGAAAAGCAAGGAAGTGGTGTATGTTGCATATGTAGTTATGTCAACTGTGATAGAGTACCATATTTCCAATTCTCCATAAGAATTTATGCTTTTCCTATAAACAGAATATGACACAGTGTGGAAAGCTTCTGAATCTATTATCATGAAAGTTCAGGAACTGGGATTTCTTTAAAGGCTAAACAATTGATGTGGAACTGATACATATTATGCTTAACAACATACAGACATACAAGAATTTCATAGAAGTCTATAATCAAACAGATAATGCGCAGTGTTCTAGCGCTGGAAGAAAATGATCAACCTAAAAGGAACCGTGTGTAGAATAGGTAGTTCTACCTGTTCAAGCTTTCGTAATGCAAAGAAAGAGTGGATGGAAACATTTTAATTGATGAATCACGTTTTCATACTTGAAACAGTTGGTAATGGGAGAGGAATGGAGTGACCCAACAACTAATTTATAACTGACATTCAATGCAGAATAAATTTTCTTTGAAAGACAGAGAAGAGAATAGGCTCATGATTGAAGAGAGAGTAGCTCCACACATTTAATTCCAAGAATTTGTTGAGCCACAAAGAGCCGATTGCTTATTCAATTGAGAGAGAGAGAGAGAGAGAGAGGGGGGGGGGGGAGATGAAGGGTGGGGAATGAAAGACTAATTCATGTTACCATTAAAGGAGGGGAGAAAGAGAGAGACAGACGAAGATGTGACCTCTGAGGTTTTCCCCAAACCCATGCTCCCTCAAAACATAATTCCCAAATTCAGTAACTTTTAAACTTAATTCCCAAACTCAGTCTTTTTTTTAAAATGTCATTTGAAATGACGTCTTCTCACCTACAATCGTCATTTGGAATGAAGATTTAAAGTTTTAATTTTTTTTCCAGAAAACGTCATTGCTAATGACGTTTTTAAAGTCGTCATTCAGAATAACGTTTTTAAAGTCGTCATTCAGAATAACGTTTTTAAACATGATTTTTTAAACGGTAGTAACAGATGTTAAAAATTATAAAAGGGATGAAAATGTCATTCAAAATGACATTTTTTTAGGCAAATAAACGTTTTCAAATTTTTTTAAGAAGACCTAAGTCGGTCTCTCCTCTCTCACATCGCTCCTCCCTCCTCCTCCTCCAACCAGTCAGTCCACTGTCTCAGATCGGTCGATCTCTCCTCCTCCTCCGCCTGCAACCACTCAGCCACCGTCTTCTCCGACAAGAGCAGACCACTCAGCCCCTGTCCGACGAAACAGCCAATACATTTACTTTGTTTTGTTCAGCTCTATTAGCTGCGGCTGGGGTTTCAAACCAGACCACTCTCTTTATCTGCTACGTTCTCATCTTCAGTAAGGTTAGAACTACGATTTGTGTTTTGATTTAAGGGCTTGTTGGTTATATGGTTTTGGTGGGTTTTGGTCTCCAATGGATTTTAGTAATTGATCTAAATCCTCTTAATTATAGTAGAGAAACAATTAGGGTAATTACAATATTCCCCTATCTAAATTAAATATGACTAATACAAAAAATAAGAACTCTTAACACCTTTCTCATAGACCTTTAAAATCATCACAATTATCTTCAAGAATCTTCACGTTCCTCTCCTTCCAAATCACTCATAACGTAGCAAAAAGGGACTATGATGTTGGTCAGGCAAATATGATGTTGGTCTGCTGTTAAGGTCTTAAGGGGCTTCTTGTAGCTAATAGTTGCGATGCTTTCCTTTTATATAGGCATCATGAGATTTTTGTTTAAACATAGCATTTTTAGGGTGCCTTCTTCAGCTTGTAATTTCTATTTGTCAAATTCTCATGGAAGAGTAAACAAAATAGCTGATGTCTGGCTTGATTGCTTGCGATTATTTTCAACATATGTTGTTAAAAGGTCATCCCTACTGCATTTTTGGTGTATGAACAGTTTCTACTCCCTTGTAAAGGTCATCTTAGCTAGATTCTTTCTTTGGAAAAAATAATCCAAGTAGTTTCTTATTGGTGACTATACTAACTGAAGATTACAATAAATTACCTTATTTGTTAATCTTTTATTATGATTTTTACACAACTAGTAATTCTTTCAAAGTGGCGCTTCTAATTCTTTTGGCTGTTTTACACATCTACCACTGGAAACCTTGTTATGTCTCATCATTTTTTCAATCATTGTTGTTTCTTGATTTCTCTAGTTAAAAAACTTTGATGTGCTATCTAATTATCTCGAAAGGTAATGTCAGCCACTAATTGTATTGTCAATAATTTTCTCTTGATTCTTGGCAGATGGGCTTCCAATTTGTGGGCAAAGCAGTGTATATTGTGTATGGGTTGCTGCCCTGTCATTGTTTATGGAGCTGCTAGGTTTCTCCACACAGACATGGCTCACTGCAGGTGGTCTTGGAACAGTCTTGTTGACACCGGCTGGTCGTGGGGTGTGATTTATATTTCTACTGTGTAAAATAGTTCATCCCTGCTATTCCTTCACCAACATGAAGATTACTCCTGAAGATATATATGTTCTCTATAGTTCAGTCGATTATATATTTTGATCCATGACCACTGTTTTTGCCATTTGTAGATATTCACAAATTTTCTTTCAAGTGCAATGATTCATGCAACCCGTCCATTTGTCGTGAATGAGTGGATTCAGACAAAGATTGAAGACTATGAAGTTTCTGGTACTGTTGAGTTCCGTATATGAGTTTTGCAGCCATGTTCATAAGTAGATCCATATGAAGAGGACAAAGAGAAAGATAAGTTATTTTTAGTGAGTTCACCTATTATTTAGATTTTTGTTACCTCATTTATCTCATGAGTGTATCTGTTTATCATTTGAACCTGCTAAATTTAATCCTAAATTCACTAATTTCGTGTTGATTTCGTGTCGGCTGAGTGTTGTATAGGATTGCCAGAATTACATGGAGGATCAGGCAACTATTTTAACTTCAAGCATAGAAACCAAAAATATAAAAGAACAAAAGACTAAATAGATAAGCAAGGTTCAAGTATTTTTTGAAGTCTCATACCATAAATACTAGGTTCGTCCCTTTCCTCGGAAACCCGGATTGAAACATCCACAAATCCTTGAGGTTTGGTGGAATTCCTTTTCCGCAATTCAAAACTCCCCACTTCCTCAACTGGTTTTGAGTTTGAAACTTCAGAATTCTTCATGTATTTATCAAGAAATTCTTTCACAACAACTGTAGCTGTCCCCTGAAGCCTCTCTCTAAGAAAGATAGGCTCTCTACTGTAAACCTCAACATTCAGAGCCAAATCTCCGAGGTTCGATTCGGATCAACCCACCCAACAGCCAACCATTGGAGCTTCCACAGAGATGAAGTTCTCCGAAGTCCCCTAGCAGAGATCAGGCAGATTTCAACACTGAGTTTACCCATTTCAGACCAAGTTTCTGTTTGTTGAAAGGAACAAGAGGTGGTGAGAGAAATTTGTCCCCTGTGACTGTGAGGTTCTGAGACAGGAGAATGTGATGGCTGAGTGGTTGGAGGAGGAGGAGGAGGGAGCGATCTGAGAGAGGATGGCTGACTGGTTGGAGGAGGAGGAGAGACCGACTGAGAGAGGGATCTGAGCGAGAGAGAGAGGGAATCTGACTGAGATAGGGGTTCTGATCGAGCGAGAGGGGATCTGACTGAGAGAGAGATGCGTTTTAAAAAAATCTGTAAAGTAAATGAGGAAGGTTTTAAATAAGTCATTGTAAATGACGTTATATATCTCTTTATTTTTTATTTTTTTAAAGCCTGTTAACTCCGGTTAGTTTTATTCATCTTAAAAATCGTCATTGCAAGTGACGTTTTTAATAAAAAAGTTTTAACTCTCAATCCCCATTGCAAATGAAGGTCTCACAAAAAAATTGGGTTTGAGAATTATATTTAAAAGTGATTGAATTATGAAAATAAATTTTGAGGGAGACTGGGTTTAGGGAAAACCTCGGTGACCTCTCCCAATCAATATTTGGTAGTGAGGTTTGGTAATTAAATTAGGGATTGAAATGACTTAATTCTATTGCTGAGGGGTAAAAAAGAAATGGATTAATTATAAGTTGTACTCTGAAAGATAGTGGGAATTTCAATTTACACCCCTAAAGATCAAAAATTTTAATTTGTACCCTCAAAGATAAAAATTTGTATCAATGTGCACCCCCAAAGATAAAAATCTTAATTTGTACCCTCAAAGATAGAAATTTGTATCAATGTGCACCTAAAACTAAATTGATAAATTATATCTAGATCCCCTCATGTTTGTCACTTAATCATTTTGACCCTTTCACATTTAGAATATTACTCTTACATCTCATGACGTTTGTGCACCTGCAACATGTAATCTCTTTTCATCCTACAGAAATCAATCTGAAGTTGCCTTTTGACTACTGCTCACATAAACTATTATGTCTCCAGAGCAAGTTGAACACCACTTTCATCTCATGGCGCCCTCCCGCAAAACATCTATCATGTTGTAGATGAATTTGTCCGCCTTTGATTGAACCTGAGCTTACACAACATTTCCAAATTCAGTCAAGTAACAGAAATTAACAGCGAGAGAAACTCGGAGCATTTGATAATAACAGCAGTTTTTATACATGTTTTGTTATATTTTCTTTAATACTCTTAATAGTTTTAATTGGTTGCCAAAAGGCTATTATATACCATTGATATATTTGGTGGATTATAGCTGACAAATGTAACGTTGCAAAGGGCAAAAAGATGAGTATATAAAAGTTGTAATCAAAATAATGGTTAAATTATGTGAATAACTATTACTCGAGCGGTGCATTTTGAGGAAGCAACCATTATCACCTTCTTAGCAAGGAAAATTGCAGCATCAACTGTACCCTCCGCATAGATTGATCTACCACAGACATTATGCTGAAACTCAAAAGAAACTCTGAAAAAAGGAAACACATCTAACATAGTTAGTGATGCTTACTAGGAAGACAAACAGAGAAGCACAAAAGCAATGGTTCGTAAATTACGTTTTATCAGGTGACTCCAGTTGATACTTGTGGAATGCATGACCGGATAGGTACTCTTTTGGGACACCCACCATCTCAATTTGTTGCTTGGGATCTCGTATTATTTTTACCTGATGAAATGTTAAATAAAGGATCAAGGAACATACCTAACAGTTCTGATTTGATTTTTGCCATACAGCTTATGCAAAGAGGAAGGAAAGAGACAACAAAAAGGTTTTAGCCCCCCAAAAGGATAAGTCTCTACATGCCAACTTACATTACATGAGTACCAGCAAAAAAACTTACATTACATGAGTTACTAGGATCCTATAGCTTGCTTTAAGGTCTAGAAGCAATGAACACTACTCACAACAAAGTATGCCATAACACACCTATCATGCTAAACCATCTCATAAACCCATAACGAGACCCATAGTCCCTAAATAGTTATCGTATAACCAAAGGGGTGCAATTTTTTTCTCTGGATAAGAAACAAGTAATTTACTGGTGAATAATCAAATAAGAAGGATACAATAAAGGTGGACAAGCTGTACAACCAAAGCATAATAAATCAAAAGTCATGGAAACCAAACTAAAAATCGCAGAAAGCATTCCACATTGCAAAAATACATAACAGAGGAGTTCCTTGAAACTCCTTAGTAACTAAGGCCCAAAAAGAAGCTAAAAAGTAACTCGTTTCCCACAAACAAGCACCACTCAAGATAGTTACCATCAATATATTTATGAATCCACCAAAATCTTGATTCAATGCTTGACCAAAGCTTCAAATGCGGACAGTAAGGTTAAGTTATTGGGTCTAGTCCCCTTACCATATGCTTAGAGGCCGAGAGAGTCTCCATATGAAGCCCAGTTCTAAAGACTGCAATATATTTTAGTCATTAGTTCCAAAATGGGCATCAGCAAGGAAATTGAGGGATGAGTAGAAGCTGACTGTTTTGGAAAACCAATAGGGTGTTGATCATGACCTAAAGAGATGATGTGGGTATAACGTTGTTCAATCTGTGGAAGTGACTTGAGATTAGAAGAATCAGAGCAAGAAGCAGAAGAACCAGCACGGCATTGGATGAGAGAGATGATTCTAAAGGCCTTAAATAGATGAGATTGGCCTGAAAAGTCTGTGCAGCATGTAAGAAGGGACTCCACCATAGATTTGTCACCTGCAGTCAATTGTCTAGGATTGATATTTGTGACTTATGTGATGTCAATTGGTATTTTCTTTGAGTTTCTGGTTGCTTAATGTTTTGTTTCAATTTTACAGGAGGAATGAATTTTTGGATTTGTCACAGAAAAAAGTTTCTTGGTAACAAATCAAATGAAGAAGGCAAGTGTTGTGTCAAGTAACATGGTAGCCGAGTACCGACTGTATGATGGCACCCACACTCACCACATCCAGAATAGAACAGTTAGCAAACACCTCGCCCACCCTTTTCCTCAACTAAAAAGGATCAGTTCATCCAAGTAAAACCACAACGTTCGACAAAGCTTCAATTGCACTCAATTGCCCGCAATTTCAGCTGTACATAATCACAAACACCAGCACCCCCAGACAATTGAGCAAGACCAGACACACACACACACACCCCACCACCCCATCCCTGGACGCCCAGACCTCGAACCTTCCCCTCCCAGGCGGAACCCGAGTTCCCCCCAACCTACATACAGATAATTCAGTAATACCTCCCACCACCGGTCACCATCACAGCCCCACCCATCACCATTGCACATGGCCCCAACACTATCATTCTTCAATTTTGTTGCTTTGTTTTTATATGACATATAGTATGTGAGAGTAGAGATAGAGTTTGGGGGCTTGTTGCAAGTGGAGCTTGTCACAGATTCATCAACACTGCAAGAACTCAAAGCTTGGAAATCATCGTCTTTCTCTCTTCGAGGCAACACTAAACCTGTGCATATGTTTACAGGGGTATTGGCGGTGGTGGGTTGGGCTGAAGTTTTGGCTACGAGAGAGGAGACATTGACCGACGAAATACACATGCACAACACATATTTAAAATGGAGAATGGAAATGTAAAATGTCACTTTTCATTAGGGACAAATTTGTAGAAAGACATCGCCCATTTTCTGCATTGTCCGACAATTTCTGACAAGGGAATGTCATTTTATTTTCAAAAATCAAGGGGTCGTCTCTGTAATTATATCAATCTACGAAAGATGTCATTGATATTTATCCAAATTATTATTAGGATATTTCAACAAATATTGACAAACCGAAGCCTTTCAAGCATATAAACTGCGTCAAAATCCATTTACCCAATTAAATATTAAGTATTTCATTGATGATTCATTAGTCATTCTTGAGAAATGGAGAGAAAATCCAATACTACTATGTACTATCATGTCCTAAACACACCTGATCTACTTCAAACGAAACCCCCAATTTTTGAAAGCATGAAATGACAGCCTTGGCAGTTCCAGACGTGTCCAGTTTCCCAGCTTGAAGTGACTACATCACCTTAGTAAAACATCAGATTTCACTATGACATATCAGCAAAATATCAGGAAAAAAGAAAAGTCATCCTTAACCTTACACGTTTAATATGTTTTAGACAACATGAAGAATGATAAGCTAAAATATCAGAGCTTCAAGCCAGCAAGTAACTAACATGTCACAAGCTAGTAATGGAAAAAATTGACACCAAAAGAAGAATTTTTCTTACATCACCACGTTCGTGGTGAATATTGGAAAGAAAGGATGCATAGCTGTATAGAATGAGTAAGAAGGATGAAAATATCAAGCCGATGAATTAAGTACACCAAGTTAAGAATGAAAGAAACATAATTAATGCTCAAATACAACACTCCACATTTAACCATATCTATCTTGGCCTAACTCAGGCTAACAGATGGTGGCAGTAACATATCTCAAATGATAAATAGCCTATATAATTGCTAAATATTCGGTCTTTAATCTAAATTATAACTAATCACAAACAATTAAATGGAAATTTTTTAAAGTAAGTTTTTTTTTTCAATTGCAACAATCAAATCCTCCAAGTTTTCCATGTTTTTCAATCAAGTTCTTCCACTCAATTTGGATAAAATTTTGTTACAGAAAGCCTTCACAGGGCCCACACATGACCGAGCCATGGGCTAGTTTAGATCAAAAACACCAAAATTCTTCCAGCTTAGTTTGCCAAACAAACCTAAATGTGTTCCAAGACAAAACAAAAACCATGGTGTCAAACATTCCTAAACTTGTTGCCAAACAATCCCCACGACCCCATGACTCCCGACACTCTTTCCCCAATTAGGACCCCCTCCCCCACCCAAAACCCTTCAATCTCCCATAACCAACTCCCACAACCAAGCTAGAGCCCTTCAAATGACAGTTAGTCGGTTCACTTGAAACAGAGTCAAGGGCACCAGACACATTTATTAACAAAAACAGGTCTCACAGGAACAAAAACAGGTCCCACAAGAGGCCAAGAAGTCCTTACCATGGCCAAGTCTTTGGATTCACCATTGCCAAAGGTAAGCATTGTTCCATACCTAAAAATCAGAGATGGTCATGGTTCCTGGTATTGAATTCACTCATTTTTCTGTAGTAGGGATCATAATTTTCACAAAGAGAGTGTGTTGTGGCGGTGTGTTCTTGAAGGGTTCTTGATAGAGTGATCATAGGGAGGAGGGGTGAATTGAAGGTAGCATCTAAATTAGAAAATTTTTTACATAGTTTAGGCTTTTGGGTTAGGGAGGTTTATGGTGACTGGAGAAGGCAGTGGTAGTGGTGGATGATCTGCATGGTGGTCAAATGTATTTCAGAGACAAAAATTGGCGGTGGGTTGGCCCACTGGATTGGGGCTCAATATGTTGACTCACTGATACTTTATAATCATTTCCCATTTTATTTTGTAATATTCAAAATAACACAATATTATAAAAAAATATTACAAAATATCATATAACCCTTGATTTCAAGCCACATAAATCTCTTGGTTGTACCTTCTTACATCTTTAAGTTTTTTTTTTTCGGCTCAGACTGACATATTAAGGTTAAGGATTAACCATAAGATTAAGGATCTCTAGAATAAGATTAAGGTCTCTAGGTTCACTTAAAAACAATAAAATCAAGAAAGTGACCATGAACATTTGACCACCGAATCAAGAGGAAGCAGAAAGCGGAAGTACCTGTAGCGTGTACCCAGAGAAAACTCCCGGAAACTGTTCCGCCATATTTTCCATGGTTGCAAGAAATGCCACTAGCTAAATGAAGCCAGTGAAGTAAGGTTTTACTAAAACATCAAGTACAAAATAATAGCATCACAGAGATAATGCAACCAATATACAGGTACTAAGCTTTGATAACCTGTTTTCCCATTTGGGGAGAGATCACGGCATAAATCTTTGAGCTTTCCACTGTCTTATAAAGCCGATTTCTATCTCCACCAGTAGTTCCCATTACAAAAGGAACGCCAATTTTGCAATATAATTCAACATTATCTGTGTATATAGTATGGCAACAAAAACTTCAATACATAGATTCTAAGTAGCTTAGTGGAATGCAGAACTCAGTTTTCAAGTTCACAAGAAGATTTTCAAATTGGCTTAAGTGCAAACTATTCAACAGTATCATCACCCAATCAGTCCCCACTAAGAAGTCTATGTAAATGGTGGGATATATTAGGGGAAAATTTGCTTTCTATTTGCAAATCCAACAACTACAATTTGAAATATCACCTAACTCCCCAAATACTTTAAAAATTCCAGTAGGGGCAGCTGCCCCCACTTTAAATCCACCTCTGCATTGCACCGTGATGTCACGAGTTACTCTAGTAATATATAAATTACGGGACATGAAAAAAGAAAGATAGAGATAAAAAAAAAAAGAAAAGTTGATGGACGATGCTTTCAGGTTCTCTCTCCCTCTCTACACAAAGAGTCCAAAACAAACAGTCAAAAGACAAGAATTATATCGAATTCAACCTGATTGGTACTTCAATGCATGAATTTTTAAACTCGGTTACACAACTCTAGGTTGAAATTGAAGTTCTATGCAGACTAATCTTCCGCTGATATTGGGGTTCATATTTCTTGATTACATCTACTGTAACTTGTAACGAAAAAGAGGGGAAAAAAAAGTTCTAAACTGTACAATTTTTTATGGTGATTTTTTAGGGTGGATTTGTTAACGTTTTCGTTTTTATGTTTTTTTATTAAAAAAAAACTAGTTTTTGTTTTTCTGTGATAAAAATTAAAAATATAACACATTAATATAAATTGTGAAAACAAAAATAAAAAAACATGTTTTGAATTATACCAATAATTCACCACCCAACCCCACTGACCACCCAAAACCACCACCCAACCTCAAATCTCACCACCCAACCCCACCACCGAGATCTGAACAGCATCATCCTAGATCTAAAAATAAATGAAAAATTTTGCGGAGAAAAGGGAGCTTACTGCTTCGCCGGAGATAGAGGTATTCGCCGGAAATAAAAGTGTTGGCCGGAGATGGAGATGTCGCTGCAGCTGGAGGAGGTTGTTCGCCGGAGTTGGAGACGTCTGTTGAGCTAGAGCTTGTTCGAAGAAATGAGTAGAATGCATTTTTCTTGGCATTTACATGGTACCTTAACTCATTGAAGAGTTTCAAGTGATCCATGTAACGACGCTGAAAGAGGGGATTGTTTCTGAGAGTGACAGGGAGAGTGAGAGTGAGAGTGAGTCATCCGTCCACTCATGATGAAACGATTAAAATTGGTAAATAGGCATATCTTATTCTTGGAATCCTCTTATTTGTTGACTGAAATCGATGGAAGGAGCGCGCAGGACTGACGAGAGACACTTTATAGGTAGGGCATCCCAGACCCCAAGGATTGGGCCTGACCCGAAGTGGAGTAATATTATTTTAATTTAAAATTTTCATCTTATTTATTAACCTCATTCAATATAATCTTTAGATTAATTATAAATTCTATTAAATATTAAAACTTATTTTTTATCAAATGATTTTAATTAAATTACATCATTAAATTAACAAATAAAGTCTATTTTTAAATTTAAATATCATTACCAGAATTACTAATTATTAAACTAGAATAAATATTATTTTATCAATTTAATCTAAATGCCACCCGGTGGTGCACTCTTAGTTTTTCAATTCGGATGGTACATCATCCCAATAAAAAGATCGAGTTAATGAGTAACATGATGCAATATATAGGTGTTAGAGTATGTGTGGCTCATATTTTGTTATGTGCATAATGGCAACGAGGCAGATGCCGGAGCGGGCGGAGCGTAGCGGAGTGGAGCGAAAGACAGTGAACTACAAAACTAGTGAACTAAAGACACTCTCTACCTCTATCTTTCACTATCCTGAGTGTGCCTTTAGTCTTTCACGTCACCTGCCAGTGCCAAGTCCACCACCACCCTCTATCTTTCACACCCCCAAACAAGATTTCACTCTTTAGTTCACTATTTGTAGGGGCAACGATGGTGGTGGTGGATGGAGGCGCCAGTAGTGGTGGTGGTGGTGGTTGGGGTAGGTTTTAGGTGGTTGTGGTGCATGGCAACGATGACGGCGATGGTTGTGCAGTGGTGGTGGTGGGTGGTGATGAGTGGTAGTAGTGGTAGTGGTGGCTAGTGGTGGGCAGTGGTGATGGTGGTGGTGTTGATTAAAGTGATAATAAATATAAAAATAAGATAACGGTCGAGATTTTTTAATAAACTACTTCATTAAGGATATTTTGGTTAAGAGTTGATTTTAAGGTTGAACTTGAACCTAAAGCCAAAAAACATCCATGAATATGTTCCTATTCTGAAATCTCCCAAAATTAAAAGCTGATAAATCTTTAACACCATTATACGAATGTACGATAGCAGAGAATGATAGTTTAAGTCTCAAGTACCATGATGGAGAGTGCTACAATATTTTGGGACCCAACTAAATAATTCATCTTCTGGTTAGCTGCAGGTGACACCTGGACCAAACCTTTGCACTTTCTAAAAGGAATTGTAATAGTCGATGGTCCTCTGCTCCTATAGAATGCTTGAGAGTTCTCTTGACTTCCAAAGACATTGACTGAAACTCTACGACCATACATCATTGCTCTTACCTAATAGTTTGAAAGGATCACATGTTCAAACATCGCAAAAAATACAAAACTCCAAAATCCACATGATAAGAAAATAAACAATTACAAAATCTAAATGTCATGCCATAGTCATGAAACCCAGAAAATAAATCCCAAAGTATGATAACCAAAGCTAACTAAAATCTGCTCCAGCTTCAAACTAGCCCAAAACCTCCCTTTTCAATCAACTAAAAATAAACTCAAAAAGATTCCACTACACAATTTGTATATTAATCCAAAATCCTCAATCTACTTAAAACAAAACTCAACAAACCAAAATAACAGCATACACAATACTAAAAATTTTAAAAAAAAAACATAGTAACAAAAAACACCACTAATCAAAACAAATCAAACCTGAAACTTAGATGGCATGGCAAGTTGTGACAGGAAACTGTCTTCTATTACATCTATTTGCTTCATTATCACCAAACGCTTTAAAAAAACCATGTCATCTAATGAAAGTGTTCTTATATTTCAATTCCAATTTATCTAAAACCAAAATGTTTCACTTCACTAGGTTGGTCACAAATTCAAGTCAAATTAATAATCTAGAAAAAAAATTAGTATAAAAAAGGTAGAAAAGGAACAACAAATAACGTAATCTATAATATAAAAAAGGGTTGAAGTCCGACAGTGTCAAATAAACTCATCGTCAACCAACATCCACTCAAAACTATTCACATTGCGCCAGGGGCGGAGCCAGACTTCAACTCTAATGGGGGCAACTTTCAATATATGAATGCTCAAACTCGGAGTGTTAATACTATTTTACAAAAGTATAGTTTCATCGAAATGACATATACAAGTAATATACAAAAAGAGTTCACAAAAAAAGTCCACTATAAAATTGTACCAAAAAAATACTTTTGTATCAAAAAAATAGTGTCCAATAATGAATTGATTCAACACATGAAAAAATCCAAATTCTTGAAAATCTTCATAATCGTTTCAACAAGTTTTCACAAATGATATTTGAAAATTCTTTCTCAACATATGTAGCCAAGTAATCATTCATCTATTGATCTCTCGACTTTTTACTATGTACCTTATTGAGAAGTATTTATCAAAAATAATTTATTATTCAATCCCAATCAATCAAAATAGTTTAGAAAATCAAACAATTTTTAACATAAATACAAGTCTAGTAAATCAAACTTAGACATATAAACATCATAATTTCTCACAATCAGATTCCTCAAGCCCATCGAACCAAATGGTTTAATCCAAAAAATAGTCCACAACATGTGAATTCTAAATATAACAATGTCATTAAATTTAACAACTTGCAATTCTCTATATTAATTTAACATACAAAAATAGCACAACAAATATATATATAGGGAGACCAATTCTAGAATTGTAGGAGTGAAGTTCTTAGCTGTGATCTCTGAAAAGTAGAAGTAGAAGTACTTTTTGTTGTTGCTAAGACTAAAGAACCCCACATGTTTGTGAAAATACATGACTAGTCTTGAGTTTAAAATATTTTCAGTGGGGGAACCTTCTAACATATTTTAAAATTTCAAACATTTTATCTTACTCCCCAAACATTTTAAAATTCTAGTGGGGCAACTTTTAACATATTCTAAAATATCACCTAACTCCCCAAATACTTTAAAAATTCCAGTAGGGGCAGCTGCCCCCACTTTAAATCCACCTCTGCATTGCACCGTGATGTCACGAGTTACTCTAGTAATATATAAATTACGGGAAATGAAAAAAGAAAGATAGAGATAAAAAAAAAAAAAAAGTTGATGGACGATACTTTCAGGTTCTCTCTCCCTCTCTACACAAAGAGTCCAAAACAAACAGTCAAAAGACAAGAATTATATCGAATTCAACCTGATTGGTACTTCAATGCATGAATTTTTAAACTCGGTTACACAACTCTAGGTTGAAATTGAAGTTCTATGCAGACTAATCTTCCGCTGATATTGGGGTTCATATTTCTTGATTACATCTACTGTAACTTGTAACGAAAAAGAGGGGAAAAAAAAGTTCTAAACTGTACAATTTTTTATGGTGATTTTTTAGGGTGGATTTGTTAACGTTTTCGTTTTTATGTTTTTTTATTAAAAAAAAACTAGTTTTTGTTTTTCTGTGATAAAA